AAAAGAGAATATGAGAGGCATACTATGTAACTCTTCAGGATTTTGTTGTTCATGATATTTGCCATGTTTTAAAAATGTATAACTTGCTGTGCTTTAATATTTTAATCTAAAAAATTTACTTCCATACCTAATTTTGTATTTATATTTTGAAGATTTTTTTTCTTAGTAGCTTCTCTTCTATCTAAAAGCTTCGAGACCCATGAATCCCCAATCTGCCATGGAGTACAGTTGAGCATTTTCAACCATATTCAACTCTTTTACATTATTCTTATAACAATTATTTTTTTGCAATAAACATAAGTTTAATAGCATAGATCAATAGGGGGAAAGAAATAAGCAGCCAGTATTTGATTTTCACCCTTATCACTTTTTCTAGGGTCTCTCTAACTTGATGTAAACTTACAGTTTTCAAGGAAATTCCTATTCCATTCCCATTTTATCATAAATAATTTGAATAGTTTTTCTGTTTGTAAGATAAAACAGGAAAGACTGTTACATTTGAATGGAAAAGGCACTCCATTTGTGACCAATGTCACACAAAATCACATTCCCATCAGAAAACACAAACATCAACATCACAAAACTAAAAATACTCAGGAGATCAATACCATTCAATAAATATGCAAGCTACTTCAGTCTCCACAAAAGGACCAATATTTAAAAAAACCATAAAGAAAACCCTTGTCCGTTTCCAAGTAACCCAAGTAGAAGAGATAGCAAGATGGTATGTGTGCTATTTTACCCCTCTCCTGGCCCTTCGCTACTTAGAGAACTACCTGCTCTCCACAGAGACTGAAAATAAGCCTTATTTCTTCGAGGGGGAGAACAAATTCACTGACACCTTTGGGTAATATCCCCTGTTTCTCAGGAACCCTGGCTCTATACCTACTTCTGCTTCCAAAGCCTCTTCATATAGTTCTGGGTAAGACTTGGGATCTGTTCCATTAAGATGGGCCATATGAACTAAGAGTTTCATCTTGCTGGTTTCAGCGTGGGCCCTTGGACCCTACAGGAACTCATAGCGAGCAGGATCACTGTCAGGAATCTGCTGGTGCATCAGGTACTCTTCCCCTACTAAATCCTCAGTGATTTCCAGGCTTCCTCAAAATGAATACACTCAGAGTGAGCTAACATGTCCCATCTTTTCCCTTTTTCAGTTAAGTCCTCCTCACTGATACGGTTGCCCTCTATGAAGATTAGAGACAGGATGAATATAATGATGTTGATTTTGAGAATAATTCTTTCATCATCGCCATCTAGTATCCCACTGTATGTAAGACCCAAAATGGGGACTAGCTCATATGTATTGCCAGAGTAATTCACTTTCCTGATTTTAATGCCAAAGCCCAGATACATGGACTCACAGAGTTCCCAAAAATTCAGAGGGAAGTTGATACGGTAATCATGGGGCAGAACATGCAGCATTTCTTTCATGGTGACCTGCTCCTTCTTTTGATACTTGTGGAGCAGAAATGACACCAAGTTACATAACGTGGCATTTAGGAGCCCATTTTGCAGGATATGAGAGAAGCATGCATCCTGCGAGGAGCTTGAACCCTCACAGGATTGACTCCTTTGACTGGAAGCCATGAAGACAGCAAGAACTTGTTGAGAATCAGAAGCCTTCAAATCTCCAGTGCTGGAAAATAGAGTGCTGAGGAATATCAATTCAACTGTTCCAAGAATCCAAACCCAGATTTTGAAAAGTCACAACTGAGAATTCTCCACTGCACAGTGCAAGGCTAGCAACAGAGGCAGGAATGGGTTATTTTCAGAGTCTCAACCTGGAATGTGGCCTTCTTTCTCACCCTCAGCCCTCTTAAAACAATTATTGAATTTAAAAAGTAATGCTTGGGAAATAATATTTGACAATACAGAACTTTGTGTAGACAGTGACTAGTGTAGTCTCCCAGTGTTCCAGCTCCACTATTTTTTTCCCCAGTTCCACTATTAATTTGATGTCCGTCTCTTCACCTTCTTCCCCAGCCATCTCATTGTGATTAGGTGTGGCTTTGGTGCAAGGACCATGCTTTGATTTCTGCCTCTGACCCTGTGACCCTGAGAAATTTACTGAATCTCTTAGTGCCTCCTCTGGAAAAGGAGCATTTGATTGTCCTGTCCCTATCTCTTAGGGGTGCTGTTTAGGGCTTAGAACAGTATCCAACATGCTGTACTTATTATGTCTTAGTTTGTTTGGAAAATTCATACATTACATTTTCTTTTCAGTTATTTCATGTGCCTAAATATATCTGTCTCCCTCCACCTAATAAGACTGTAAATTCAAGATTAAAGAATAATGGAAAACATCTTTAACAGCTCACAATTCCCTATAAATCTGTGGATGTGAGCGCCATCTAGCTGCAGTATCTGTGGTTCTACTGACCACCAGGCACAAGTCAGCTGATTTGGCTTCAGGAGCTCTACAAACGTCAGGAGATTTGTCAGCGAGTAGAGAACGACATGGGTGACAGAAATTTGGAACCAATCTGGGAAGCTCTCACAAGAAGCTAGAGATCTGTCAGAAGCAAAGGGTATTTTTGAAATGTGGTGAGATGGGCATCTACAGGAAAGTAGCATCATTTGGGGTTTCTGCAAAACTCCAAGGAACACAAAGCAAATGCTGTCTCTCTATCCAGTTGAAACAGCATTCAGGGGTGGTCCTAAAGTGGTCGTCTCTGAGGAAGGGTGGTGATAATTTGGAAGTGAGACTTTTCCAAGACGTCACAGGTAGAACAAGCAAAAGGGTGAGACGAGAAAAACAAAAAATCAAAAGATGAAGAAATGCTTAAAAGAAAGTTGTTTGGGTGGTTCTCTTATCATTTAAAAAGACCCTTTAGCAAAGAAATACTGGTAGACTAATCAATTTTTTCAGGCTATGCACTGAAGTATACAGTAATTACTCAACCCTCTCTCTAAATTCACAATCTGACATTTAGTGAAAGGAAAAAAGAAAAGCTCATTCTAGAAGAGTATGACTCAACTTTGTTAACAAATACATAACTACACTAGACTAGACAAAGAGCTAGAAAGAAAAACAGTAAGATATAAACTGCTTACTCAGGGGAATGCAATTATGAGAGAAAGTTTTATTCCTTGTACTGTTACATAATTCTCCATTAAAATAAATGCGCATTAGTTCTGTAATTAGAAAAAACTCCTATTTAAAAACAGTAAGATATCTTTTTTTTTTTGGAGACAGTGTTTCACTATGTAATCCAGGCTGGCCTTGAACTGGTGGTGATCCTCCTGCCTCGGCCTCCCAAGTGCTGGGATCACAGGTGTTCGCTACCATGCCAGGCTGTTATCCACTTTTATTGCATGTAGTTCTTTGCATTATTGCTTCCATAATTTTTTTTCCTTATTTGGTCTGGTACTACAGTAACTTGTAATTTCAGAGTTTAAAAATACCTTGCCTCATAAATGTGTCCCCATTATGGAGTATAATGTTCCACATAAGATAGAATTAATTTCCATTAAATAAAACTCTTGATCAGACTCTTTATACATGAATAAAAAGTCTTTCCAGCATTACACAAAAACTAAAATCCACAAAAGACAGATAAATTTAACAATATAAAAATTTAAATTTCTGTTCAAGAAAGCCTACCATAAAGGTTTTGAAATTGGAGGAAAACATTTGCAATATACATGACAAAAAACTTGAGATCCATAACCTAAAAATCTTTCACAAATCAGTGAGAAAGTAATTTTCAAAAAAAGTATATGTCACTAAAAATTCAAATATCTATTGAACAAATGAAAAATATTAATTTTAAAAGTAATTTTAAAGTGAAAAACAACAAGAACAACACTGAGCCAGGCACTTGGGCACACACCTGTAATACCACCTCCAAGTTTGAGGCCAGCCTGGCCAAACTAGCAAGGTGCTGTCTCAAAATAACATAACAAAAACAAAACATAACATAAATAAAATAGGGTTGTGGTAGTTCATTTCCCTAGTGTACACAAAACCCTGAGCTCAATTTCCAGCACACACCAAGCAAAAGATAAAAAGCATGTATGTTTTCATCTGCAAGACAGGCAAAAGATGAAAAGTGTTATTTTTTGTTGACTGAGATGTGAGTAGATATATATTTTAAGCTTTACCAGTGGAAAGATAAATTGTCAGGCCTTTAAAAAAAAAGTAGTGTGATAATAACCTTCAAATCTATAATGTGGATATGCTTTGACCCATCAATTTACCTTCTAAGATTTTTTGCTATAGAAATTCTTGGACAAGTATCCCAAAGCATATATAAAAAGTGTCTATTACAGTATGACTTACTAGAGCAAAAAACGAAAAAAAAAGGAAACTAAAAGTCAACTGATGTATAACTGCTTTATCTTTAGTGTCTGGAAGTTATCTGGTACATAGTAGGCTTGCAATAAATATTTGAGTAGTTACATACATTTTTCATGTGTAAAATGAGGTGCTACTTGAAGTATGTAAAAGAGGAAAAAAAGACTAGGAAGAAATTGTAGATCTGCATTTATGTATCTGTTATCTGTCTAATATGTCTACTAAAATTTTCTTGGAAGAAGGCTTAAAGTCTTAAGAGGGAATCCAGCATTTTCTGTTTTATACACTTCTGTTTTCCTTAAATTTCTTCCAACTAGAGACTTTTCCTTGGTATCATGGAGGACAGTGTAGTCTTTGCCTACAACCTATGTAATCCTTCCCTATGTTTTAAATAATCTCTAGATTACTTATGGTACCTACTACAATGTCAATGCTATGTAAATAGTTCTACTATATTGTTTAGGAAATAATGTCAAGAAAAATGTCTATGCATGTTCAGTATAGACACAATTTTCTTTCAATATTTTGATCTGCACTTGGTTGGATCTGCAGACATGGAACCCCTGAGGAGAGGGCTGATTGTAGATGATACTTTTAGGTGAAAAAAATGTTTTACATTTCAAAAATCAATCAAACAAGCAAACTAGATTATCTGCACTAGGTCCTGTAAAGCTTTCCTAATGGCTTCCTTTCCCAACAGAGTAACCATCTCATTTCATCAAATATCGGTAAACCCTGAAACCAGAGCCTGAAATCAGCTCTCCTTTTCCCAGTAAACTGTTGCCTGCATTCTGCAGCGAAGTGCCCTGAAGATAAAGGACTCCTGACATTACTCAGAAGGAAAGGCTGACAGGGATTCTTACCTCCTGGCTGCTGGCTGAAGGGCAACGCCCCAGGATGGTCAGGAGAAAGGCCGAGTTAGCAGCCATGCGGGCTGGCTCCATTCTTCCACCCCCTTCCCTGTTACTGGCCTGGCCTCTTCCCTAGGTCCCTCGGGTCTCGCCTCAGAGGGTCAGGACTCAGCTGAGGCTGCCCCAGAAGTGTCTCTGAGGGGTTTCTTGCTTCTGTTGTTGCCCTGCTGAGCCGGAACCCAGGGCCTGGCACAGGACACTGTGCTACACCTCCAGTCCCCCACTGAGGCTTTCTTGCTGTAACTTTTCTGTATTTACCTCAGGTATCTCAACTTGTGCTTTTTAAGCTGGCTGTTAATTCACTTACACATTATTTCTTAGAAAAGTCCTACCAGAGACTCTTTAAAAAGTATATTCTGGGTTGACAGTCAAGTATGCATGAGGCCCTGAAAGAGTGAACTAACTCCTGGTCACACCCAACTAGGTCTGTTCCTAACCTCCAGTTGTGGCCAAATCAGGTAACCACCCTGGGTCTCAGTCTCCTCCAAAGGGGTCTGGAAACAACTGGGAAGGAGGTCCCTTAGGAGAAGAGAGTCAGGTGGCAGGACAGGAAAGGGCCTGTGATACTTGCTTGAGACCAGCTTCCCCTTGCTCCTGTGGGAACCCTGGAGTGCAGTCTGGTCCTGGAGTTGATGCACCAGAGGTAACCATGGGGCAAGGCTGTCCCCTTAGGCTGAGCAAATCTACAAAAAAATGTAGAATGTGACAGAAGCATCAGCAGCCATCAGAAGCCAATTCCTGGGGACCTGGAGATAGGATAAGGTGGGTTAAACACACACAGTGTCACTGCAATGATAGTGTTGTGGCAAAGTGGAACAGCTCAGCATTACAGTCAAGTGGTACAGCTCAAGTGCTACAGCTATAGCAATTTGAAGACTCAAGAATCCAAAAGTTACTCAAAGAATTACAGAAAAATCTTTATTAGCTGGCTAGCTCAGAGGAGCTTGACTGCTCAGAATTCTGAGCCCAGAGTTGCAGTAGTAGTCAGCTTATATACAGCTGGGAAGAGGAAATTGAGAGGAACCTTTTAGGACAGAGACATAGCTCGAAGCAGGAACCTCTGGGGTGAAGTTAACAGAACAGACACTTTTGATACATTGAGCAGGTACATTGGGGAGCACAAACAGTTACAGAACATTATGATACATTGAGCAGGAACACCATGCAGCACAAAAGGTTACATTGATGGAATAGAACAGTTTATGGCAAAACATGGGGGCAGGGCAAAGGCTTGACCTATTGTATAATACTGCTTTATCAATAACAATAGATCCTGGCATTCGTGGAGCACTTACTACTGCTTTTCCTCGAAAATAAAACCTAGCTGGAAAATAACTCCTATCGTGATTTTTCAGGATGCTCATAATATAAGCCCTGCCTCCCAAAATAGGCCCCAGTTCAGATGTCAGCCAGATGGATGCATTTATTACATCCTTTATAATACATGACAGACATATTGAATTATAAAATAATATTAATATATAATTAAATATAAATATTATTGACATGAATACTTAAATGATAATATAAATTATAATTAGGTATTTGTAAATACCCAAGTGGGTGCCTTCGGATGAGAGGTAAACACTTACATCAACAAATGAACTTAAGACTTATTGTTGAATGACTAATTGGAATATGGACATAACACACGAATAACATGCACACTTGATAATGAACAGATGTGGTTGTGTCTAGTATAAATCCTTGTAATTCAATTCATCATGTGTTGTAATGGACGTATTTAATGCACTCATGTGAAATAAAGAAACATTTTCTGATTTTTAGCACCCTTTTGTGTGGACCATCTTTTTTTTTTTTTTGTACCGGAGATCGAACTCAGGACCTTGCACTTTCGAGGGAGGCGACGGAACCACTGAACTAAATCCCTGGCCCAGGACCATCATTTTTAACTGTCGTCACTTTTGTTGCCACTCCTGTCTTGTAAGTATTCAATTAACACTTGATTTAATGGAACCTTTGTGAAGCCCAGCCTGCAAGAGGTCGTGACTTGGGTGAAGAATTCATGGGATAAAATCACTGACAGCTATATTGCCAACACACTATGAGTGGTCTACATGGACAAGAAATGCTCATTTAAGGAGAGCTCTATTACTGGATGTGAGAGATTGGGACCAACGGTTCCACAGGAAGTATAATTTCGAGAAAGTCAGGCTAATCACCAGGTGTGGTAGCTCATGCCTCTAATCCTAGCACTCAAGAGGCTGAGGCAGAAGGACTGCAATGAGTTCAAGGCCAGCCTGGGCTACATAGTGAGACTCAAAAAAAACTAAGAAATTCAGGCTGGAATTTGGGGTTTGGAGACTTGTCCCAGAAGATGACATGACTGTATTTAAATACGTGTAGAATTTGTATGTGAATAAATGAGATTGTTGTACATGAATAGATGTAGATTGCTGTACACGAAAAAATAAGATATCTCCTGCAAATAAGCCCTATGGAATCTGCTGGAGGAAAAAATTAATATAAGACCCAGTCTTATTTTCAGGGAAATACAGTGTCTACCAGGTACTATTCTCTAAGGACTTTACATGCACCATCACTTGATGCTCACTGCTGTCCTATGAATAGACATTTCATTCTATTATTATCTGCATTTTTCAAATGGAACAACTGAGGCTCAGAGAGGTTAAGTAGTTTACCTATGTCTACATCACTGGTAAGGGCTAGTCCTGGGTTGGGAAGAATGATCTCTAAAGTGTTCCTGTGACCTCATAGAAGAGTAAATTTTGTTAGGAATTTCAAACTTATGCCATTTATTTATTCAACCAGTTATCCATTCATTTTATATTTATGAGTATAAAATCTTCCTATGTTCTAGAAATTACAAAACTAAGTCAAGCACATCTCCAGCCTTCCAGAGTGCCTCAGTCTGGTCTGTGCCATTTGAAAAAGCCAAGGAGAAGGAAGATGAGGCTGCTGGGCCAGCCCTCCTTTTCTCCTGGGGCCACCACCTCTGAGCCAGGGGTAGGTGGTAAAAAATCTTGCTGAGTGAGGAGGGAGGGAGGGGTGAAATTTCAGAACCTTTGCAATTGGCTCCATAAGGAAGCAGAATTTATAATCATAAAGGAGTTACTGTGGTGATCCAATGTCATGAGTCTTCCCTAGTTATCTTTGAAAAAACAAGGAGCACAATGCAAGGCTCTTATCGTTCTACCTTATTCTATGGAAAGCTAATTGCAATCCAGGCCAGTCTAGTTAGGGTAAGCTTCCATCTTTATCGGAAGCATTTGCTGGCTGATAGAGATCCCCACCCCACCCCAGGTGGGTTGCCCAGCCGGATGGAGTTCACAGTTCACAGCTGACTGTCTGTATAGAATTGGACACTTTTTTTTTTTTTTAATGGAACCATGGCCTAGGGAAAATGTTGCTAAGAACTAGGATCAATCCTCTATTTCATCATTAAAAGGTTAATACAGTTATGCAAATTTCCAAAGGCAGTGTGTGACTCTAACATTTTTAAGAACCATTAAGAAAGCAAAAACTTTCGCTAATTCACTATTGCATTATTTTAGTGCCTCACAGAGTGCCAGATTAGTAGGTGCCTAGTCAATGTTTATTGCTCATTTTGAAAATAGGCACTTTTGATGTTTCCTTCTCTCTTCCTAATGGTTACATGAAAGCTTTGTTTTTGTTTTGGTGCTAAGGACCAGAACCTAGGCCTTAAGCACACAGTCTACCACATTCTTGCTTTGTAGTCCAGACCAGCCTCGAACTTGCTATGTACCGCAGGCTGGCCTTCGCCTCCTGAGGGCTGGGACTACAGGCCCAAATATGCACCTTGAGAGGAATCCCACAGCCCAGGCTTTACAGGTCTAAGTTAGTACCAAGTCATACTAGTTCCTATTTCTTGAGTACTCTTACATGCCAGACTCTGTGCTGAACAATTTAATAATAATGATGCAATTCTAGCTAACATACACATAGCTAATATTTATGTAAAGTATGATTGTGAATGCTTTACACATAGTAGCTCATTGAATAGGAGCTGCACTGTATCACTGTACTCATCTTACCAATGAGAAAAACTAGGCTCCATAGATTGGGTGACTTGTGTAAGGTAGCTTAATCTAGGATCCTAACCCATGGTGCTGTGCCTGTACAGTTGAAGGAAAATGCTGAGGTCTGTTGTAGACCCAGGAGGCAGAATCCCAAGGGTTCTGGAGCATGGTTTTGAGGTTGGCCTCCTGGGCACCTTTGGGTATGGAATAGATACAGAGGATTCTCCTTAGCCACCTTGGGGCCGCTAAAATGATTATATGGTCTTGGCATGAAGAATTGTTCCTTTAATAATTTCCTGAGATGTCCTGTTAATGGCTTTGAGCAAATTTATTTCCTGTTGGGGGTGGCTGTTTGAGAAAACCTCCCTAGTGAATTTCTGGGAGCAAAGAAGCCTGCTGGGAGAGATGTGGGTGGAAAAGCTGTGTCTTTGAAGTTCTTGGTTTTTCTTTAGTGGTGTGACCTTTGTGGTCCTACAGTGGCTTCTCTGCTGACTTGGACAATGATGGCACTTGGGGTGAGGCGAAGGCCTTCAGAGAGGCAAGGGGAAGTCTGTGTAATGAATCTTGTCTCTCCTCCATTCACATCCCAGTGCATACAGACCCTAAACAACTTGAAGATGAAGGTCCACATAGGCTCCAGCACTCCGCATACATCCCAGGCACACATGGGGTTCCCAGTGAATGACTGGGCACTGAACTTTATCTCTGCTTCCTTTCCTCAGCTTTCTTTTTGCTTTATGCCATTAAAATTTATCTCAACTTTAAACATTTCTTTATTTGAGCAGTTTTGCAAGATCTTTCAAACACTGTTGAATGAACTGCCCATTGGTTTTCAACTACATTTGCATAAAAGTTTGAGAAGACAGGAAATTTCTTCCCGAGGACCTAGAGACAGCTGATGAGGATGCTGAGCATTTTGTGGTTTCCCAGTCAATGGTTGTGGATTGAATGAATGGATATTATAAAGGGTTAACAAAACCACCAAGAGTAGGGAGTGAAATATGGGTCAAATACCACTGAATTTTTCTTTAATAGTGACAGCTAAAATTTTATGTGGCAAAAGAGATGAGAGGAAAGGACACATTAAGGTAAACTCTTAGTTTTGTCTGAGCAACTTTTGAGTCTTGGTGACTTTGAGAATGGAAAGACTCAAGGAGCGCTGGATTGGGGCACAGAAACCAAGAATTCTGTTCATCAACCATAGTCATATTGACTTTTGGAGGCTGATAATTGTGGTAAGGGTTTTTATTTGCACTGCAGGATATTGAGAAGTGTCATTCACCTCTACCCGCTAATTTCCATACCATACCTCTTTATCAGCTGTGTCTCCAACTGTGTCTCCAGATGTGGCTAAGTGTTTTCTGGAGTAACCCTCAGATCTAGAGCGACTGGTGTCTCAGCTCCATTTCTGGTACTTCAACTGAATATCTGAGTGTGGGCAGTTTATAAAGAATACAATGATACCTCAGTTGTTGAACTCAATTCGTTCCACACTCCTGTTTGAACACCGAAAAGTTTAAGAACTGAACATATTTTTCTCATAAAAAATGATGGAAAACTAAATGATTGGTTCTGAGGCCCAAAAATTACATTTATAAATTCATTTTTCCAGAACTTAAACAAATTTCACAATGATTTCTTTCTTTAATTCTATTATGGTTCTCATAGTTTTCCTCTTAGCTTTACTGCTGGTATCGGTAACATTTTTGGACCCATACTTATCTTACACAAATAAAACTCCAAAAAAGAAAAAGCAAACTGACAAATGTTTTAACGCACTAATACAAGCACTGTATGTTGTCTGGGTGAGACCAGCGCTTAGACCATGTGACCCCTTTGCTTCCGAGGTGAATTGCAAAAGTGACTCACTCTCAGCCTGAACAAGTTTTTTCAAGTAGGATTTTTGGTTCGCCTTTCGGGCAAAGTTACAAACACTGCACAGTTGTTGTTTTTTTTTTTTTTTGAACTTTGCTGTTCGAGTATTGGAAAGTTCAACCTTAGAGCTGTTCAAAAAGGGAGGTAACACTGCAAAGGTATGTTTAGCTCACAGAAGTCCAGGAGCATGGCATCAGCATCTGCTTGGCATCTGGCAAGGGCCTTCTTGGTGCATAACATGGTGGAGGCATCACATGTGAGACAGAATCAGTGTTCAAGCTCCAGGTCTTCTTTCTATAAAGCCACTGAGCCATCACAGGGCCCACACTCAAGACTTGATCTGATCCTAATTACCTCCCAAATGCCCTACCTCCAAATGCTATTAACATATGAATGGGGGCTAAGGTATAGCTCAGTGGCAGTGCACTTGTCTCCAGCATGCACAAGGCACTGAGTTCCATCCCCAGCACCATAAAACAAAACAGAAAATACGAATTTAGAGATTAGGTCTTCCATAATTTATTTAGGAATAAACTTTTGGGAGATACATTCAAACTATAACAAATGGGTTAGGGTAAGATCCTGTGGATCACCATTAGTAATCCCCAGCCGAGGTGTTGGGTGTCAAGACTACAGTGGGAGAGGCATGCATTGTAGCAGATGAAATTTATAGTGGATATTGGGAACTGTCTGGAAAATGGTAGAATCCTGGAGTGCATTGCTATTGGTCTCAGAGAGAAAGGAGCTAGGTGTGGTGATGCATGTGTGTAATTTCAGCACTCTTGGAAGCTAAGGCAGAAAGATCCAAGTTCAAGCCCAGCCTGGCCAACTTAGCAAGACCTTGTGGCAAAAAAGAAAAAAAAAAAAGTAATAGGCTAGGGATGTGGCTT